AATTTACTAGGGTAGGGAGGACCGAGGTGTCGTTATGGGCGAACCTCGGTCTACAGATCAGATACCCTTGGACACTTTTAGATACCTCTCGTTTCCTTTAGATACCTTTCGAAACTCGCAACTCAACATTCTGGTATCTCCGCCGGAGAGTGTAAATAAATTGTTTTGCCTCACTCACGGTGTAAAGTTTGTTCCTCTTGATAGGGGAGGTGGTCCTTCGAGCATTCACTAGTCGACACAGTACATGTAAATTTCACAAGGCTCGACCGATTCCTAAAAATCGACCGCGAGCAATAACAGAGTTTTAATATTTTAGTCTGTTTTAATACTTTACGCTACGGGCACTTATTATGGCTTGCAAACGTTGTTGCCTGCGGTCAACCAAATTTTCAGTAATCTTTTTTCTATACTATTCCAAACACCGAAAATTTTTGTTTTAAATCCTTCTTGAGAATTAATATTATATTTACTTATTGTTGTCGTCTGCCAATCTCTGTCCATAAGTGCACAATAGGGTTCATATCCGGACTTCGCGGAAGTATTTTTAGCACGCGGTATGTTTAGGATCATTCTCTTGCTGTAATGAAAATCATCTACTAGCACTAAATATTCCGCACTTTGCTTTAAATTATCTTGTAATATCGGCATATATATATATACTTGTGTATATCTATCGGCATATATATATATATATATATATATATATATATATATGTATATGAATATTTATCTAAAATTTCATCAATAATGACGAGATTTCCAATGCCATTTGAGGCCATACATTGGCGTCCACACTACAGTAAATTCTCCCTAATTGATGCTCAGATTGTGCACAAAAATGGACAATTTAGGAAGAGGAGATATGATTATTCGAGTTTTTCGGCTCGATTTTATAGTTATTGACAACCGGTGACTATAAAAACGGCCAGCAAAGCCCGAATAATCGTATCTCCTCTTCCTAAATTCTTTAACTGCATTTAATAAATAATTTATTAACCATTGAACCTCATTAATTCTTATTAAACATAATGAATAAACATTCTTACAATAATTTCTAAAAATAATATAGGCATATTTATTTTTGGCCTTCATTGATAAAAAATAAATATAACACATTATAGACTCCAAAATTAAAAAGAAATCTTTTACCATTTTCTACCTTTTCTTAACTTTCTTCAAATGTGGTTAACAATCTCTCTTTAAACTGGTCTACTTTCATCAATAAAGATTCTTCATATTTCCGAAACTAACAGAGGCATTAAAATGCTATATTTTACTGGCTAAATATTATGGGAATTCAATATCAATAGAATTCAGTAAATATGCTTAATAAACAGTACCAACAGAATTCCGTTAAAATTCTTACGAAATGCATACACGTTAAATCTACTTTTATCTTACAGAGATCATTAAAAAAAAATCGTCTTTAAAAATCAACACGTTACATGTGCATTTATTGTGTATTTATCGAAAATGACATTAAATGCAATTATAACATTAAATTAATTTTCTAATTATTATGGAAAAAGTAGACAAATCAATTCAGAAAAAGCGATTAAACTTGGAAAATAATTTTCAATGGAAATTATTAACTTTTAACCATAAATTTTATTAGTGGTTCGTTTAAATTAACTTCATAGTGTTCAAAATATTATTTTATGTCTGCTTCAGCAAATTGAAACGATTTATATCAATTCAAACCTTCGTCTAGAAATGTATGGAAATAACTCTAATGTCGATATAAATGCAATTAACAGGAGAGAAGCCGCATGGTTGCACTATATGTGGGAAAATGTTCAGTACGAGCAGTTCTTTGAACACACATGTGAGAATTCACACTGGAGAACGACCACATGAATGTCCCATTTGTGGGAAACGTTTCACAGCTTCTTCAAATTTGTATTATCATCGAATGACTCATTATAAGGTTTTTATATTTTTCACTTACTTTACACTTACTCAGCGACACTTAGCGACCCCCACCGATAATTCACTGACACGGGTTTACATGAATGTCACAATATTGTTAAGTTACTAACTACACGTGCCTTCAAAAACAACCATTGATAACAAATTCATTGACAGTTTAATTATAAAGTCAGTAAAGTGTGTATACAGTTTAATTTATTAGTTTGTTTGTAACAAGTTATAGTGGTGGTAATTATGGTACACAAATGTTCTAGAGCGCATACAGGAATATTATAAACGAAAATAGTAATGATGAGTAAACCTTTGCACTTTTAATGTTTTTTGGTGATATATCTACAGTGACTCGCATTAATATTCGGACACGATATTGTTAGAAGAATTATTGCACCTTTTTATTGTTTATGATAGTATTATTGAATCAATTGTTTTCTCATACAATAAACCACTTCTTAAAGTAAGTAGAAACATAAATTTTGTTTACTTATTGCACATGTTCTTTTGTATAATAAGCGATACATAAGATTGTGACAAAACTTAACGTCGCAAAAATATTCGAACAGTGAATGAATTACATTAATTTTCTATAAAATGAAAAACTTTTTAATCACGTTATCATAATATTAATATTTTGTCGGTTGAACCTTTTGTTTTATTACTTAATGTAATCGTTTGGGCATGTCACAGATGATTTTATTTAAAGAATCCGGTGAAATCCGTTTCCATTCGTCTAACAAACGTTGTTTTATCTCTGTTCTTGTCTTTGTAGGTGTTGTACGAATTTTGCGGTCTAATTGATCCCATAAATTTTCAATTGGATTTAAATCAGGCGATTGAGGAGGAGGATGCAGTACTTTTGGACAATTCTATAATAAATATTCCTGTACAATTCTGGCCTTGTGTTTAGGATCATTGCCCTGATAAAACTTAAAACTGTATGTATACCCATATTNACAATTCTGGCCTTGTGTTTAGGATCATTGCCCTGATAAAACTTAAAACTGTATGTATACCCATATTTATAGCACTTGTAATTAAACTTAAAAAAAAATGTCCAAATACTTCATTTTGTCCATAATACCATCGATAAAAACTAGTTCACCTACACCTACAGACGAGACCTAACTATAACTATAACCCTATACTACTACAATCCTACCACCGTGTTTCACTATTTTTACAAAGACAACTGGTGGTGGAATGATGTAATATTTTCGGATGAAAGCAAATTTAACCTTTACGGATCCGACAGTCAAACAATGCTGTGGCGTAAAGTAAATACAGAATTAAACATTTCAAATTTAAGACCGACAGTGAAACACGGTGGTAGAAGTGTAATAGTGTGGAGTTATATCTCGTCTGTAGGTGTAGGTGAACTAGTTTTTATCGATGGTATTATGGACAAAATGAAGTATTTGGACATTTTTTTTTAAGTTTAATTACAAGTGCTATAAATATGGGTATACATACAGTTTTAAGTTTTATCAGGGCAATGATCCTAAACACAAGGCCAGAATTGTACAGGAATATTTATTATAGAATTGTCCAAAAGTACTGCATCCTCCTCCTCAATCGCCTGATTTAAATCCAATTGAAAATTTATGGGATCAATTAGACCGCAAAATTCGTACAACACCTACAAAGACAAGAACAGAGATAAAACAACGTTTGTTAGACGAATGGAAACGGATTTCACCGGATTCTTTAAATAAAATCATCTGTGACATGCCCAAACGATTACATCAAGTAATAAAACAAAAGGTTCAACCGACAAAATATTAATATTATGATAACGTGATTAAAAAGTTTTTCATTTTATAGAAAATTAATGTAATTCATTCACTGTTCGAATATTTTTGCGACGTTAAGTTTTGTCACAATCTTGTTTATCGCTTATTGTACAAAAGAACATGTGCAATAAATAAACAAAATTTATGTTTCTGCTTACTTTAAGAAGTGCTTTATTATATGAGAAAACAATTGATTCAATAATACTATCATAAACAATAAAAAGGAGCAGTAGTTCTTCTAACAATATCGTGTCCGAATATTAATGCGAGTCACTGTATATAAACTTCACTTTATTATATCAGACTTTCCCCTATGTGGTCTCTTTCTAACTTAAAGGAAATTTAATACAAGACATAATGGAATGGTCTTAGTTTCGGAACAATTTTTTAAAAAGATATTTTTATTGCTCATTATATCTGTTTTTATTATACAAAAGCTGTTCTTCTAGTGGGTCTGGGGTATTTGCTCGATTTTCTTTCTGTTTCTCGTTTGGTTTGATAGTTCATGGTGTAGTTCATGGGTCCTTGGCAGAGGTCGACACGTTTGAGTTGGATATGGAATGGAAGGGGGGGGGGGAGGTCACCTTTGCTTTTTCTCTGTGTGAAAGCCATGTTGACATTGATAGCCAATGCTGGGATTGTTTAACAGCCTGTTTTGTTCATATTTTCTTCACCATTTTTTTACAGGCCCATAGGCCGGGCCCCGCACGACCTTTGAATGTGGTCTCCACTCGACACAAACGCGATTCTGGAGATCTCGACGTGAAACACTTAATTTATTGTTAATAACAGTTACAGTTTTGTTGGCATGTCGCGATGTTCTAAATTCTTCTCGACGTATTCAGTACGGTGGTTTTTACATGATCTAATTAATGCGATAAATGTCTATATACAATAATTTCTCCTTAATTCGCGCTCAGATTTTGCACAAAAATGGACAATTTGCGAAGTGGAGATATGATTATTCGAGTTTTTATAGTTATCAATTGTCAACAACTGTAAAAACAAGATGCAAGGCTCGAATAATCGTATCTCCTCTTCCCAAACTGGGAAGATGATGGAAGATGTCAAGGTCAAAGTCATCGAAAGATGCAACGCTATTTTAAATATTTACTGAAAATTTGCGTGCACACAAATCATAGATAACACGCATGTTTTGAGTTTCTCTGTAGTGTCTACTTCTTAGTAAAAATGTTTGTTTACATACTTCATAAATATTCCGCACAATATTAATTTAGATATGTGTCTGCTCAGGAAAAACCACATAAATGTAACGAATGTGGGCGGTCCTTTCCAACGCCTGGTGACTTAAGAGCGCATGGATATTCTCATACCGGAAACTGGCCCATGCGATGTTCGGTATGCAATCGGGGATTTTGCAAACTAGCGGCTTTTCATCATCACATGCAATTACATAATGGTAATTATTATTTTTTACTACTTTGATGTTCAAATACCTTAAAGACGTGTCTACGTATGTTACCGAACCATGGTATGGTAGGGTATCCCATAATTATCTTAATTCCCGGAAAGAGATGATTCCTGAGGTCATTTGAAATAACTTTGACCCTTAGCGCAAATGTTATCCGTGACTTTGTTTACGAGTTATTAACGAAAAACGGTGACCAATGAGAGGCGAGCTTGGCAGCTGCAAAGTAGTTGAGCGAGAGGGCGGAACCTGGCTTCGCTGCAGGGCGCGACGGAAGGAGGGGGTTGCGCACGATCCCTGCGCCGCGATCGAAGCAATGAACATGTTACAAAGCGTGAATTTTCAAAATTTGTTTCCTACGCGACAGTGATAATTTAAAAAAAAAACGCTGTTCATCCATATTTTACAATGTCTGAAGAATATAGTAAATTCTTCCCAATTATCCTTCAGCTTTTAAACTAACATGGATAATTTGGGAAGAGGAGATACGATTATTGCATCTCGTTCTATAGATGTTGACAATAGATAGCGATTAAAACAAGCCGCAAGGCTCGAATAATTGTATCCCCTCTTCCTAAATCGTCCATTTTTGTTCACATCTGAGCGTCAATTAGGGAGGATTTACTCTATTATTTTCTTCCATAAAATATCTCACAATTGTGTTCCACGATGCTATAATTATTCTATATAATTTTATTATGCATTATGCATAATTGCATTATGAATCAGAGTTGGGCATTACTTAGATTGCTTCGAATAAATATTTAATTAAGAAAATTATCCAATTGAATTCCTTTTCATTCGAATTATTCATTGTTCGTCATAAATTATTCTACCTGTTTGAATAATTCTTTATTCGAATGATTCTTTATTTGAATAATTCTGTATTCGAATGTTTCTTTATTTGAATAATTCTTTATTCGAATAATTTGTTATTCGATAAATTTGTTATTCGAATAAAGTTTTGTTCGAATGAATCCTTATTTGAATAAAATCTTGTTCGAGAATGAATCCTTATCCAAATAAAGTCTTGTTCGAATCAACTTTTATTTGGACACATTTTTATCGGATAAATTTTTATTCGATTGAATATTTATTCGACAGTGACGAATAAAATTTTGTTTGAATAAATTTTTATCTAGATA